CACAGAAGCTGTTAAGAAAAAATATTTGATATTAAAAATACATAGTGAAATTTTTGGTTACCCAAGCCTTAGTGGCTATGAGGAGTATGTCTGTGAGTTCCAGGGCAGGAGAGGATCTGTAGAGAGACTTAGGTTTGAAAAAAAGAGATTCCTCAAAGTAAAGAACTATTTAAGTTACATTGAGATGACAAGGCTAGAGAAAGCTGAATGAGATGGGGTGTCCTGGTAGACCTGAGGGATTTACCTGATCTGGACACTGACAACAGTCTTCAAATCCCAGCAGTGGCATGCAGTTGCTCCAGACTCCAAAACCATGAGCAGTTCTCTGGCTTAGTTCTTTCTATAACTTTCAACTGTTCCACACCCCCCCCTTGGTAGCCACACCAACTCCATCAAAATCTACAGTCTGATTCAAGAATTGACTCTCTGCCCTCTTCCAACTTCTGGGATATAGCTAGTATCTAGGTAGTCTGGATCAGATTGAGACCCAATAAAAGAGGCTAGAATAGAGTAATAGTTACAAACACACTCACTGAAGCAACCGCAATCACTGAGTTCTTAGTTATGGGTCTATGTACTGAGTGTTTTAATATTTTGAGCCGGTATTTCACAGTGTACCCAAGGCTACATGGAACTCATGATGTCTCCCACACTTAGCTTAATTTTTCTGTATCAATTGGCCATGTGCTATGATGTGAGCTGCCACATTTAAGCAAGTTTTCTTCCTTTTTTTAAAGATCAGAAATTCTACTTTTTAATTAAATTAGCAATCCAATAAATGTTATTGATTTACATCAGTTCTGCTTGTTGGCTGGTTACTTTCTTGTTTTGTTTTGTTTTGCCACAGAGTTTCTCTGTGTAGTACTAACTGTCCTGGAACTGACTCTATAGACCAGGATGGCCTCAAACTGAGAGTTCCTCATGATTGTCTCCATAATGTTGTGGTTAAAAGTGTGCACCTCCACCACTCAGCTCCAACTCAGCTCTTTCTTCCACATCAGAATGTACAATTGTGATAAGATGTTTGTAACAGGACCTATGAGAATATATTTAGGGGATTTGGGGGGGGCATGTCTATTTCCAGGGATACAATACCATCCAGCTAACTCTTAATCAGAACCATGTGGGTAACATGAGAATCAAACCCAGCTGGGTGTGTTGGTTCACAACATTCATCAGATGAAGTGTAAGTCTGGGGCAGGAAGATTGTTATATGTTAGTGTTTTGAATTGACCTGAGCTACGGACTCAAAAGTGTTATAATCTGATGTGGAAAATCACATAAATCACTGTAGCTACTGTTGATTGAGCCTTTTCTGAACTCTCCAACAGACACGAGAGTGGGAGACAGAACTGAATAGTAACTGCATGGAAGAAGCATGACTGGTCTCCAAATGTACCTCAGACAACAAGCCTTTGACAGGCAGGGGTGAGTCACTGTGTGTAGACCCAGCACTGGGAAGTGTAGGCACATACATGACAGATCCCATAGGGACAGAGCTGATATCAGAGATGTAGAGGAGATGCTAGTTCTGTGTGGAGTCTCATCTTCCCTTCTGACACTATTTACTTATTGGATTTAGAAACATCAAATGCTTGAAATGCAGAATGTACACCAAGGTTTCTTGGATGAATGGGTAGCAATGGTGGACATAGTCTGTGTAACCCATGCTGGTGGGAAAATAAGACGTTGATGGGCCTTTTCCTATTCAGTGTAGAGAGATGTGAAAGGGTCACTGACCTTTGTCTTGGATCCCAGTGGATGAATATCCATTATAGTTGCTGTCGTTAGCAACAAAGGAGGACCCTGCACTTAAGCAGTTCAAAGATGTGCTCTTCCCATTGACCATTTATATCATCAGAATGTCTTGAAAATTGTCCACACTGATCATATTGAACAGTTGGAAATGAATACAGGGTGGAGTCTGTTTTGACACGGCATATTCTGCATATTGCCTTGGTAACTCAAGAAATGTTTGCAAACTCCACTTAGCACACATTTGCTTTAACACCTAAAAGTCTAAAATGTATCCAGAAAAATGGAGAAATGTGCCACTGATTTAATTTCTCAGATCTCCATGCTCAACTCTCTTTAGCATCTCTTTATGAATGAATGACTTTCTTAGGAACCACCGAAACACAGAGAAGGAGGCACGGGCATCTGTGTCTGCCTTCATAGCAAACCAGTGTGTGTGTATTTCGCAATGGCAGCATCATTAGAATATCACAGCTTGGTCTTGTTCCATGTTCACTGAATCAGGTTCTCATATAACCACTCAGAAAGCTATGGAAAGATTTGGGATAGAAGTATGGAGAAACTATTACACATTAAAAATCTAACTTTCTGTGTCAAATCTAGTAAGGATGGGTTGTAGTTTCTTTCTGTGCAATCATGTCGAATCTCAGAGCTCTCTTAGAAAATATGGTGGGCAGCCTGCAGATCCTGGTCATAGAATACTAAAGTGCATCACTGACTCCCACTTCCAAGCCATTCTGCATTCCCTGGACATCTGTTCCCAGCTTACCACCTTCAGTAAGAACAGAAACTGGTTATCTGTGTGTTTTATGGAGAAGCTGCTGTGCTAGACTACCAATCTGAGCCACTTCAGCTGAGGATTTTACCCTGTGCCACAGGGGAGCTTAGTGCCCACTACTGTTATTGCCCAGACCTTGGGTGATTTAACCAGGTCTATTCAAAGCTGAGACAGATATTGAGGGACCTAAAGTCATACGCCCCATTTCTCAAGCATTTTCACTGAGACTATATTATTAGAATATTTCACTCTGGGACACAGTGTTTGTATCACTTGGTGTTTGTTTTTTCTTTCTTTAAATTATATTTTTGTGTGATTTGGTATGAAGATGTCAAATACTTGAGAACTGGAGCTACAGATAGTTGGGAGCTGCCATGTGGGTCTGGGAATTGAACCCAGGTCCTTGGTAAGAACAGAAAGTGCTCTTAACAGGTAAAGGAGCTCTGTAGTAACTGGGTGTTTATGCACCAGTGTATATGCATAAACATTTGCAGAGTGGGATATAAGAAATGTTTATAATTCCTTATATTAAACAAAAGTTTTATTTGATATAGAATTCCTTATACTAAACAAAAGTGATATTGATATAGATGGCATTAAATATTTTTTCAGAATGGAAACCTATCTTTATTCTGCTTTCCTGTGTATTAGGCCAACAAGATAATTCTGTCAGTAAAAGCAATAAATCTACAGTCTTGGAGTCCTAGATTCCACTCCCAGGAACCATGCTCTGCCACCGAAAATGCTAGCCCTGCCAGGAAAGAAGATAGACTACATGTAGATCATTAACTCAGCACTCTTCTTCCTTATCTGAATCTTCAGTCTTACAGCAGAACTCCTCTGGTGTCCTCTCTTTACCTTGTATCCTCATTTCAAGGAGACTAAATGAACACATCCTGTTTGAACACTCTTCTCCCTTTCCTTGGAAACACGTCAGACTCTAGCCTATCCCCATTCCTAAGTGCCATGTCTAATGCCCTGAAACAAAATTTAACTGGAACCCTCACCATTCACACCAATCAGGTCAACAGAAAATTTCTTACCAGATACCACATCCATCACAGTCTCCTAAAAGTCCGAGAAGTTACAGAAGTCAAAAAACAAAACATCCAAACAACAAATCCTAGATATAAATCCATACTGCCATAGGCACCTAGTTTTGACTAATCAGAAGAGCAGACATGAAAAAAATATGGCATCTTGAACAAATGGTGCTGGCCTAACTAAATGTCTGCATATAGTAGAAAATAAATATATCCATACTGATCATCCTGCACAAAACTCAAGTCCAAATTTATCAAAACTTTCAATATAAAAAGAGATACACTGAACCTGGTAGAAGTGGGAAAGAACCTCAAAATTATTGGATTGGTAGAAAAATTTCTGGAAAGAACACCAGTAGTGTACAGAATAGAATCAATAGTTAATAAATAGGGCCTCATTAAGCTGAAAAGCTCCTCTAAGGCAACCTAGATAATGAGATGATGTGGGAGTCTCCTCTGTGTGCTGTGATTAGCATTAATGAATAAAGAATCTGCCTGGTGAGTTGATAGGGCAGAACTTAGATATGTGGGGAGGACAGAACTGAATGCTGGGAGGAAGAAAGGCAGAGTAAGAGAGAAATGCCACGTATTCTCCACCGGAGACAGATGCCAGTTAGAACATTACTTATTAAGCCACTGCAGCATAGCAATACACAGAATACTAGAAATGTGTTTAATTAATTTAAGACTTAGCCAACAAGAAGCTAGAGCTAATGGGCCAAGCAGTGTTGTAATGAATATGGTTTCTGTGTGATTATTTTGGAATTAAGCTGGCTGGGCAGCCAGGAAAAACAAGCAGCCCTCTACCTACAACAATGAGAAAATATTTTTACCTACTCTACATCTGCCAGAGGTCAAATATCCAAAATATATCGAAAACTTAAGAGACTATATATCAAAAACAAAGATTGCAATATTAAATGGATCCTGAAACAAACTGAGAATTCTCAAAAGGGAAACTCAAATTGCTCAGAAACACTTATCAAGATGTTCTTTTTTCCTGTAGAGCGGTTATTTCTTGGAGTCCTATATTTTCTTGAAGGAAAATAGATATATAGTAAATTTGGGAGAAAGTATATGGATGGATCATGTGAGTCTTTAGTCTTACAAGGAGGTTAAAGACACACATTCATTCAGACATCAATATAAAGACCTTTAGTTTATTTTAAATCTGATTGTAATTAAAGAAAGTAAAAGTCTTCTACACTGCTACAATGTCCAATAGCCAGGTCTTGTAAATTAAGTGGATGAATGGAAGATTACAAGTCATTATGTTCAGAAAAGTAGTATGTATGTCAATTCTAGGCATCTTCATTAGAAGAAAGAGTGAGAGTCACTAGCTAATGCATACATCTTTCCTTGTATCATAACAAGTGGTTTTGTATCAAACAACAGCTGTCAGTTTCAATTTAGGAAATGGTAGTTCAGAAAGATGCTTTCCCCTTTAACTTTTTAAGAGAATTTCTTTCTGGTCTTAACAAAATTATGTAGCACTTGGGGATAAAGATACACCCCAGCAAGCCTGCACTGGAGGCCAAGATGGAGAAGACCTCCACAGCCACCATGACCTTGCCCTTGGTGCTATGGTAGACAGGAAGAAAGGTGACCCAGACACTGCAGAACACCAGCATGCTGAATGTCAGCAACTTGGCTTCATTGAATGTGTCGGGGAGATTCCTGGCCAAGAAAGCCACAATGAAGCTCCCTAATGCAAGGGTTCCATGGTATCCCAAGACACAGTAGTATGCAATAAATGAGCCCTTGCTACATACAATGATGATGTGGTTTTGTTCACTCTTGGCATCAATTTCAATAAATGGAGGAGAAACTCCCAGCCAAATTGCACAGAGAATAATTTGGATGAGGGTACAGATGACAATGATGAAATTGGATGCCCTTGGAATCAGGTTGTACCTCATCCTTCTTCTGGGGATTGTGACCTTGAAAGCCAGAAGGACAGTCACTGTTTTGGCCAACACAGTAGAAACAGCTACACTGAATACTACCCCAAATGTGATTTGCTGCAGGATACACTTAGGTGCATTGGGATTACCAATAAAGAGCAAGGGACACAGGAAACAAAAGATGAGTGAGACAAGCAAGGTGTAGCTGAGATTCCGGTTATTGGCCTTCACAAGTGGAGTGTCATGGTGCTTTATGAAGACCCCAAGAACCACAGAAGTGAACGCAGTGAAGCACAAGGCCATTAAGGTCAGAGCCATCCCCAAGGGGTCTTCATAGGTCAGAGAGCTCACACTTTTGTCAATGCAATGGATCTGTTCTGCATTGGCATACTGGTCCTCTGGACACCTTACACACTGATCCACATCTGATGGAGAAAAAAAAAACTATGATTAGTGAATCTTGAGCAATTTTCTTGACAAAACATTTGAATTATAAGTGTTGAAATTAGCATTGCAGTATCTGCAATTGTGCTGAGGATGACTTTGAAAGATAATGCTGCATAGCAATGCTTCCATTTCACAATACTCATTCATTATCCTTTAGTGGAATGAATCCAAATAATCACTACTTTGTCTATTAAATGTGCGTTAATGTCATCATTTGTCATGTTATAATGAAGGATGTTTTTAGAAGAGACACAGAAGATAGAGAATGAGGGAGAAGGGAACAGAACAAAGGAGAGAAGGAGTGGATATTTGGGCCAAGAAGACAAAGCTTTCTCTGATTAGAGTAGAAACAGGCATAACCTGTGGGAAAATGGCAATTTATAAAGTTAAAAGGGTTACCACATTTTAGAATAAAGTGTTAAATTTGATTATCAGAAAAAAAATTTTGATTATCAGGTTAATTAGGACAGTCATGAGGGATTTTTGTTAGCTTGACTTCACATTTTGATATCTGAACAATGATAGTCAGTCTCAGGTGGAGGAAGTAGCTGATTAAGGCAATAGATCTTGGTGGCTAGCTTTGGGAATGTAATTGTCTTAGGCTTTATATTGCTCTGAAGAGAAATGATGACCATGACAAGTCTTTTAAAGAAAAACATTTAATTGGGTATCTTATAGTCAGAAGTTCAGTCCATTATCATCATGTTAGGATGTGGTTGTATGCAGATAGACCTGGAATTGTAGAAGGGGCTTTGAGTTCTGTTTTTATCCATTAGCAACAGGAAGTAAACAGACTCACTGTGTGTTTCTTAAGCATATGTGAAACCTCTTACTCTGCCTCCACAATGAAACACTTCATCCAATAAGACCATATCTTCTCCAAAAAGATCAAATATCCTAATAGGATCACTCCCCAAGATGTCATGGAGGCAAATTTTATTCAAGATGCCATTGTAACCTAATGTATTTTAGCAAGGCAAATGGAATGTGAGAGAAGGACAGGGTTTGTTAGAGATGTATCTTCCACGCTTGGGATGGCTACAGTCCTTTCAGGATCAATAATTTGTATGTGTTGACATGTAAAGTATCAAAAGAGATGGTGACTATGAGGTCAGTTGGGTTTATATGGGGAAAGTAGGAGGTGGAAATGAGAAAGGAAGGTTATATAAATATAATTTTGATGTTGGGAACTGCAAACATAATCTAATAAATTAAATAAGTATGCTCTTAGCTGTGTCCTCATCTGATAGTAAGGATGCTCTACTCCTCAGTATTATTCATAACAAGCAGCAACATGGCAGTTCCCATGAGTGACATGCATTTGAGAGACCTGCCTCCAGGCTGAATTACCACCCTTGGTGTGAAACAATGGTCTCTATTCTGTCAACTATATATTAAATAAACACTGATTGACCAGTAGCCAGGCAGCAAGTATAGGTTGGACAACCAGACAGGAAGTACTGGCAGGTAAATGAGAACAGGATAATTCTGGGAAGAAAGAAGTCCATTCCTCTGCAGTCCTGTCCCAGCTACAGGCAGCAAGGAGGCACCTACATATCTTCTTTTTAGCCAGTAATACCTTGTAACTATAGAAGACTACATAGGTACAAGTGCTAACTCAGCAGTTGAAGATTATGCACAGACACAAGCCATATCAGATGGAAGAACAGACTAGTTAGGCACTGCCTTGACCCACACCTGTTGGAAGAACAGACGAGTAAATTCCAGCACAAGAATACATTCAACAAGTGAAAGAGCAATATGGGACTGCTAGTGTTCCTACAACAGTAAGACCTGAACATTCCAAAACAGCTGAAGCAGAAGAAAACAGTCTTAAAAATAACTTTAGGAAGATGGTAGTGGCTCTGAAAGAGGAAATTCAAAATTCCCTTAAGAAATCAAAAAAGGACAAAGAAACTATTCGAAGAAATCAATAAATCCCTGAAAAAAACAAAAAAAAGTCAAGAAAAAACAGTCAAATAGTTAAAGGAAACAGTTCAAGACTTGAAAATTGAAATAGAAACAATAAGCAAAGCATAAACTGAGGGAATTCAGGGAATGAAAAATACGGCTAAGTGAATAGGAACTACTAATTCAAGCATTATGGAAAGTATACAAGAGATGGAAGAGACAATCACAGATGTTAAAGATACAATGGAGGAAATAGATTCATAAGTCAAAGGAAATGTTAAATCCAATCAATTTCAATCATAATTTATCCAGAAAAAATCTGTGGCACCATGAAAAGACCAACCCTAGAGATAATCAGGGTAAAAGGAGAATAATCTCAGCTCAGAGACACAGAAAATATATTTAACAAAAGAAAAAATCCTAACCTAAAGAAGGATATGTGCTTGAAGGTACAAGAAGCTTACATAATACCAAACTGCTTTGACCAAAAAACAGTCTCCTCACCTCATAATAGTCAAAACACTAAGCAAACACAATGAAAAAATAATTTTAAGAGCTGCAGATGAAAAAGACCAATAAACATATAAATGCAGATCTATCAGAATAACACCTGGCTTCTCAAAGGAGACACTACAAGGTAGAAAGTGCTGGACTGATGTATTACAGACAACAAGGGACCACAGATGCAATCACAGAATACTATGCCCAGAAAAACACCCAATCACCATAGACAAGAAAAGCAATGTATTTCAAGACAAAACCAGATTTAAACAACACCTATCCAGAAATCCAGCACTACAGAAGTACTATAATAAAAACTGCAACCCATGGAAGCTAGCAACATCCATGGAAACAAAGACAATAGATATCTCACAACAGACAATCTCAAAAGAAGGGAAACTCAAACACTAAAACCACCAAGGCAAAAGAACCGCCAAGAATTAGTAATTTCTGATTATTAATATTTCATAGCATCAATGGACTCAATTTGTCAATAAAAAGAGATAGACTAACAGAATGGATATGAAACCAGGATCTATCCTTCTGTGGCTTACAAGAAACACACCTCAAACCTCAAAGACAGACATTACCTCAGAGTAAAAGGTTGGGAACAAAATTTTCAATCAAATTAATCTAAGATACAAGCTTGTGTAACTACCCTAATATCTAAAAAAGAATAAATCTCAAAGTAAAATTACTGAAAAGATATGGAGAAGAACATTTTATATTCATCACAGGAAAATCCATCAAGATGAAGTCTTAATTCTGAAGATCTATTCTCTGAATACAAGAGACATTTAAAAGAAACTACTAAAGCTTAAATCACACATCAGACTTGAATGGACTTATGAGACTACTGTGAAATATTTTTGCCAAAACACAAAAGAACATACTTGCTTTCAGCACCTCATGGAACTTTATCTAAAATTGACACATACTTGGTCATAAATAATATCTCATCAGATACAAAGAAATTTGAATAACTCATTGTATTATATGGAACCAGTATGGGTTAAAGTTAGAGTTCAGCAGCAACACAAACCAAAAAGTACAAACTCATTGAAATGCTCTCAACTGAACCATCACTGGGTCAAGAAAAAAATTAAAGACATCCTAGCATTCAATGAAAATGAATCCACAACATACCCAAACTAATGGGCTACTAGAAAAGTATAAACTAAGAGGAAAGTTCATAGCACTAAGTGCCTACATAAAGAATCTGAAAAACCTGGTGCTGTGGTGAAGATCCTACTGCAGGGAGATGATGAACTGAGAGCTTTGGAAAGCTGGGAAACCACAACATGTGACATAGTAAAAAGAATTATTGTTTGCATGTGACCCCTTTTTTTGATGAAGATATTCCCAGAGTCAGAAACTCAGTGAAGATTCTGTGAGAGTTCATTGAATGCATCTGTGAAAATGGAAGTCACATTTGTATTTTGAGATGATAGGATGTTGATATTCCCAAGCTGTGAGACATATGCCATGGAAAACTGCATACAGGGAGTGGAACTAGCAAAAGAGAGACGTGTATAAAATTTTACAGGGATAGAACTATGTAAGCTAAGCTTAGTCTATGGTGTCCCAGCCTTGGAAGAGGAATTGATCTAGACCAGGGACATTTGCAGAGGCAGGACTGAGCCAGCAACCTAGGTCTGAGCAAAACTGAGACAGCAAACTCCGCAGGATGAGGTACAGTGGAACAACCACTGAGCGAGTGGGCCAGAGCCAGAGACAACTGCAGATCCCGGCATAAATTTGGGACCTTCCAGTGAGTAGACATGACCCAGAACCCCTACAGGTCTGTGTGTAAGTCTGGGACCTCTGAGGGAGTAGGCCTGAACCAGGTCGTCTGTGGGTCCAGGCACACCCAAGTATGGGATCTCTGAAGGGGTAGATAGAAGCCAGAGACCTTTGCAGGACCAACCCCGAGCCAGGGTCCTTTGCAGAAGCAGATGCAGACCATGAACATTTACAGAAACAGGTCTGAGTTGGCATCCTAAGCCAGAGCAAGCCTGAGACAGCAAAATCCATGGGAGAGGGGAAAACCCCAGAAGCGCTAGTGACCTCCAGGAACACCGAGTGACCAATGGGGCAACTAGATCCATGGTACTGACTCTACTACCAGGAACAACCATCTGAGCCTTGGATTCACTGTCACCTAGATTAATGACCAGAGTCACAGACAGCCCAAAACATACCATTTAGAATAAAAAGTGAATAGACAAAGTAAGAGCACATGCAAAACCACAAAGAACAATACAATACCAGTAAAATCTAGAGAACCTTTAACAGCAAGACTTGATCTACCAAATATAGACGAAGCAGAAGAAAAGGACCTAAAAATAACTTCAGGAGAATGCTTGAGACTCTTAAAGAGGAAATGCGATATTCCCTCAAAAAATGGAGGAAAAGACAGACAAGAATTGGAAGACATTAGCAAATCCCTTAAGAAAACC